ATAAAATTTATTTAGTCTTCCCAAGGCTCTCTAGGCTTAATCTATCATGTTTCACAAAATTCTTCTAGCCTCTACTTACTACCCATTCCAAAGCCACATTCACATTTTGGTGCATTTGTTACATCACAACCCCACTTTTGTGTAGTACTGTGATAGTACTGTAATCTCTATTAGTTTCCTATTACTGCTGTAATAAATTGTCGCAAACTTAGCATCTTAAAGCAACACAAACTTTTATCGTATAAGGGCCTACATCTAAAATGGGTCAAAAGGGTCTTCGGGAGTGTCCTGTTTTGGGAAGCTGTCATGTCTTCTTCCAGCTCCTAGAGGCCTCCTATATTCCTTGGCTTATGATCTCTTCCTCAATCCTCAGATTATTTTCTCTCCTCTCTGAATTCGGCTTCTATCCTTACACCTGTGCTCTCATTTCTGACTTTCCTACCTTCCTCTTATAAGGACCCTACAATTACATTGGGCCTAACCAGCTAATCCAGGAACACCTCCCACATCAATATCCTTAATTTAACCACATCTTCAAAGCAATTTTTACTATGTAAAATAACATAGTCACAGGTTCTGAGGACTAGGATGTGGACATTTTGAGGTGGCCATTATTCCTTTTACCACCCAGCATGTGTTCTAAAGTCAGTCTGTGTCGTGTGGGGGCTCTGACTCGGAAAACAGATCTGGGGTTTGGCAGGTGAAAGAAGATACAAAATGCAGCTAGATAGTAGACATGCTTTATTCAGTGGTGGCCACGGCAACTAGCCAGCCCCCAGCCAGTTCCATTTTAGTCCTCCTTTAGCCTATTTCCATAGGCCTTTTTTATATGCAAGCCAAACAAAGAAAGCACACTGCCAACAGGTTACATAGAGAGGTCTGTGCTCATAAGTTAATGTTTACGACCTTGATTCTATAAGCTGAATCAGTGTTTCTGACCTTGACTAACCATAACAGCCAGTTCCCAGCCCTGACAACACATTAAATATATAACAAAGGTTCCCTCACCGAGACTTCTGGCAGGCTAACTACAGCCATTTTGAGGCCTGCCCCAACAGTCTGTCATCCATAATGACCCACCCAAAAGTGGTTAAAAGGGCTGGGGTTGTGGCTCAGCACTAGAGTGCTTGCCTAGCACATGTGAGGTGCTGGGTTCGATCCTTAGCATCACATAATAATAAATAAAATAAAGGTATTGTGTCCAACTGCAACTAAAAAAAATTTTTTAAGGGTTAAAATAATTCATTGATCCTTGGTGTCATTATCAATTATTATAGAGGACAATCAGTGGGTCAAAAAGCAGCTCCCATCCTTATTGGTAAGACATTGGATATCCATTCTCTTCCACATACAAACATAACCTGAAAGGGTCCCAGTTACTCCAGTTTGAGACTTGTTAAACTTGATTTGGATCACAATTATGAGTTTACTTTAAAAAAATCCATGTCACTGAGTATTACAGCCTCAGTCTCCATTCACTGTACATCCTAGTGCTGCTCAGGCATCAGGAGAGGCATATGATTTTGCACCATTCAGATTGAAATAATGTTGTGCTGGGCTGTGTGTGGTTGGTCAACACTGATGGCATCAGAAACTGCAGAATCATTCAGGACCAATTGGGCTGATCTGGATTTTCTGTTAAGGAAAAGAAATACATATTATGTTCATGAATTGTCACAGTGGAATCCTAATAAAAAAAAAAAAAGTCTCCTTATGTCCAGATCACCTTCCAGGAATGGCAAGAAAAATAAAAACTTTCTTGACAACCATGTTGAGTGATCAGACAGCCTTACTAAAATGTGTAAACCAGGAAAAGGTAAGAGACAGAGCTTCAGAAACCCTTCTGACCTGATTTTTGAGACTCCCATTCCAGCACTCAGCAATACTGCAGATGGTAAGGAACATTGAATGTCCTTTAAATTCTTTGACTATGAGCCCATTGTTGGATGGTCTTTGCAAATGATGCAGAACGTCTAACACATGACACAATTTCATTTTAAGGGCCACAGTGGTGGGACTGGAGTTGGCTGATTGGATGGAATTGTAATACCATAACCCAAAAGAAATGTCAAAGCCATGAAGCAACAATGGGAGTCTCAAAAGGGACTCAAAGCTGTGACACAGTCAATTTGCCAGGAACAGACAGAGGTAATGTCCCATGCAATGTGACCTACTTCACCACAGAACAAACAGACCAAATCTTGTCAGAATTGTGACTCATGTGCAGTATATGGTATGCAGTCTGCATTAGAAACACACAGTTCTTTACTGTGCCCAGTCTGTGATGCTGAATATATTACCCCTTTGATGAGGTACCAAAACCAAGTGACAGTGACAGCAATCTGAGCCACTGAAGGCTCCATGAAAAGCTCAGTGCTAGTTGGTCTGATTAGAGAACAGGCCATTGTGGCTGGCTCAGACACAAATGACCCAGACGGTCTGATTGGCAGATACAATTTATTTGCATGGTTTATGGCCCCAGAGAGGGGTGCCTTTAATCTGCCAGTCTTAGACATCTAAATGGAAAATCAAGGGGCTAGGCCATTAGTAACAGACCAAAAGTCAGAAGTCTAGAGAATATTGTCATAGACAAAGGTTTTGGCCTTCACCCTTTATGCTGCCTGTCTGTGGTCATCCAAATTTTTCATTGCAGTTGGATGGTTGCTGCCACCTGGTGGACACCATCAGCTGTCGCCTTAGCAGATCCATCCCCAAACTAGGCGATGTTAGAGATGAACCCAAGGAACCCTAAGTCAGCAGCTGTTTCAGGTAGTGGAGTGAAGGATATTTTCTCCCCCGAAGAGATCACTGTCACTTTTTCGTGTAGAATTTAGTGGCATCTGATGCCACTACAGTTGCTCTTTTCCATCTGACAAGAGAGGCTGTTTAAACCTTCCCAACTTATTTTGTCAATCCAAGTTAATCTGTCCCAAAATAAGAGTATCCAGCCTGAGAGTCAGAGGCTCCCAATGCCAAGACTCAGTTTCAATATGAGCTTAGTAGCATGCTAATAGCTGCTTTTAAGGAACTTGGCTACATCAGAAAAGTAGAGCCATCATAATGAAACTTGTCTTCTCCTAGACTCTGGGTGGTTATTATCACCTAAACATATGCTAAGATTTCCATTCTTCACTCTGAGTATTTTTTTTTTTTTCTGTTTGACCTACTGGACAGGAAAAAATCGCTCTGACATGTATGGGCATTCATAGCACAAGTCTGTAGAACACTGTAACCCATAACACACTCGGCAGTGCAATCCAAAACAGCACATTGGATTGGACCAGAAGCCTCACCAGGTAAGCCACGTTAGCTTCCCACCCCCATTCCCAGCAGTGTCCAAATCCCTTGAATTCAAGCACCCAAGGAATCTAATCTGAATGTATATCAGGGTTTGTGGCAACAGTCTGTGCTCTACTGGCTAAAAGGACAGAGGTTAAATGCTAGCAAGAGAGACCATACTACAGTGGGCTGGTAGGGGAGCCAAAGGAAACATAGCCCTGAGCCTTTTTCAAACTCTCACCCCAAAGCCATTGACTGAGCACCAGTAATACTTCCTCCTTTATATGCTCCTGATGTCCAGTAGAGACCAGGGACTAGGGACACTTTTTTTCCCTGCCTCTGTATACACCATAGCTATAGTTCCACCATGCTCTTCTGAGGGCCCTTGGAGACAGCTGTGCATAGCACTCCATTCTCTCAAAGACCTAGTGCAGCTGTGCAAGGGCCAAGTGCATGAATGCAGAGCCTCTGCACTGGTAGGCCAGGCTTTTTGCTTACTTTTCCTTGTTTTCAGTTTATCTACACCAATGTTTTTGGTTGATGAAAACTCTATATAAGTAGCAAAGTCTTCATCACTAATACAAATTGCTTGACTTTGTGCACTCCTGGCTCAGCAGATGGGAGCTATGGAGCTTGCTTGCCCACTGTCCTGATAACATTCCCTCCTCTGCCCACCAAGCAAAGAAAGACACAATCCAGCACCATATTGCTGCTTTGTTTAGTTTGACTGTTTGCAGCTTAGCCTCTGGGCATTCATTTAAGTCAATTATTAACAGATAGGAAAGTGAGAAACCCTCCCCCCTCCCACTACCTTCTATACTCATAACCCTCCCCCACCCCCAGCCACTACTTGGGCAAGAATATTAGCTACCAGATTCCAGGGAGTTTTCTCACCTCTTGGAATCTGATTTATGGAACTCTTTCCCTTCTTCTTCCAGAAAGCCATGTCTCCATGATCATGACATCCTTGCTACCCAAACTGTCACAGCTGCAATTTGAGGTTTATCCTACCTTTATAATCTATTGGGTTAGTCCATTGCTGTTTAATGGGTGGTTGCTGAAGACAGAGTTGATCACTCACAGCATAACAAGTATATAGCATATGCAGTATTTTAGTCAGCTTTTTTGCTGCTGTGACTCAAAGACCTGACAAGAAAAATTTTAGAGGAGGAAAAGTTTGAGGGCTCACAGTTTCAGAGGTCTCATTCCCTAGACAGCAAGCTCCATTCCTCAGGGCTCAAGATAAGGCAAAACATCATGGCAGAAGAGTGTGGCAGAGGGAAGCAGCTCACATGATGAACAGGAAGCAAAGAGATCTCCACTCGCCAGATACAAAATATATACCCTAAAGGCACAAGCCCCAATATCCACCTCCTCCAGCCATACCCTACCCACCTTCAGTTACCACTCAGTTAATTCCCATTAGGGGATTAATTCACTGATTGGGTTAAGGCTCTCATAAGCCCATCATTTCACCACTGAATGTTCTTGCATTGTCTCTCACAATGTCTTTTGGTGAACACCTAATATCTAACCCATAACATGCAGCATGTTGCTTGGTAGAAGAAAAGCACAACTTCAAGAATCCACCACTTTTATAGTGAGCAGTAAACAAGACTGCTCTTTTGACCCAGAGGGAGTCATGGTCTCAAAGTGCTCACTGAAAATAAAGCCCTGAGAAATATCCTGGGCAAAGAGAGGTCAGGACACATTCTTGACATCCCCAGCACCACACATAAAAGCATAAGAGATCTATGAAGGAGTTTCTCCTAATAATAACCAGCCCTCTGGGAGGGGGGGGAAATAATTTTAAAAGGTCTACATGGTAGCATTTTCCAAATTCCTGGTTTAAAAAAATCTCACCATGGCTGACTTCAAGTTATTACTGTAATATCACTCAGAGTTGGGGAAAAACTAAACATGCGCTAAACTTGACCAGCCATTAATAACTCTTGCTTGAATCAATATTATTGTGATTGTTGCCATTGACTTTTAAATGCATATCTGAATCCTTTGTTTATATGATTACAAATACTAAGCCAGTTTTCAAAATGTACCTCTGCATATCTTTCCAAGCACATATTATCATCTTTTTGTAGTTTGCTTCCTTGTGAATACAAGAACATTCCTTCTCTGAGGATCCTAAAGCAATTCTGAAGTTTGGAGGGGAAATCTGGGTTATAGTCATAGATAAAAGAGAACTCAGAAAAGTAAAATGTTAAGAACCAGGATGTGACAGATAAACCACTAGCTAGTAGTCAATCTCCTTCTTTTCTTTCTTTCTGCATCTCCAGTAAATGATTAAACCAGTGTTTGTAAATTTCTGAGTCTGTGGTTATTTTCCACATTACCTGGGTTTTGATTTTCTTAACAGTATTTATCAATCTCTTAAATTTCCTGCATTTTGTTTATAGTTTTGTGGGTTTTTAACTCATCCATTAACTGTTTTCATTGTCTTTTAGGATTCTTTTTTTTTTTATTCTATCTTGTTTACCACTTTATCCCTAACACCCAGATTAGTGACTAGCATGTGAAAGATACCCAATAAAAATAGTATAAATAAATGAACTTTGATTCCTGATTTAGTACAATTCCACCTCATTATGTTGCCTTGGCATTCAGATGCTTTTTAGATGGTGAGCATGGCAGATGGCAATCAAGGTGGCAAATAGAAGCTTTAAAGTTGCCTTCTTATAATTAAAACTCAATTGAGTTTCAAAACAGCTTATATCTCAGTGCTGCTACTCATACTATGTGAAATCAAACAAATCACTAAACTATTCCATGTCTCAGTCTCTCCCAATTAAAATTCTTAAGGATTTCTGAAAGAAAGGCTTCAGTTTTCATTGTCTTCTTTGGGAACATGTAGCACTAGGTATAAACCAAGCATAGTTTCTGTCACATTCTGATGACATCCTTCTTTCTCGAGAGTCACAGGGGAGTAGAGATTAAAATCTGTGGTTTTGTGTTCCTGTCACCCACTAGAGGTATTCCGAAATTCTGAAAATTCTTGGAAGGCAATTTCTCATCTTCTTTTTCATGAGGATTTAAACTATTACTCTGATAAATTTCCTAAACTCCATCTTCCCTACAAAATGGGGATAATAATACCCACATTACAGAGATTTGATTACAATTAAGTTATACAAACTTAAATGAGTGGTTCTCATAGTGGAATCACTGGACCAGAAATCCTGGTATCCCTGCCAGCTGGTAAGCAGTGCAAATTCTATTGCAGCAGAGATTCTGAAGTTGCCACCCCAACCCTGCCCAATCCCAAATGTGATGGGGACCAAAGTTTGAGAACCACTGACAGATAAAATCATCTGATGCTTGGTTGGCCTTCAAAAGTTTTTCATTTTTTTTCACTCACATGCATTAGTCACCCAAACCAATCCTCCCAGCTAAGCTGCAGAATTACCTATCCTCATCCCATTTGGCAGATGTGAACAATAGGTGGGAGGCAGAGGCAGATTCTCTGTGAATGCTGGCTCTGACAGTTATTGCTCTTCTCCACCATTGTCACAACATGTCTCAATGTTACCTCCATATTTATATTTTTATTATCTTTTCAATTGTCAGAGTTGGCTCAATAGACCATTTTATGTGTAATATGTGAAACTAGCTGGTTGCCTACAAGGCTGAATTCTAAGAAGGCCAGTAATGCTGGGGGTTAGCAGCCTCAGAGTCATTCAGTCCTGGGCTAACATTACGCAGATAGCATTGGATGAATTGGTCTTTGTGAAGCCTGACTTTTCAAGTGAAAAATGAAGTTAGCAAGAATAAAATCTTCTTCTCATATTGTCTCCTATAGGCCAGGTGCCCTGTTAGGTATTCTATATTTGGTACACAGGGCAGGTCTTGGTCTTTTTATAACCCTTTTATGGTTATAAAAAGGTTAGCCAGGATCCCACAAGAACTCCATTAGTTCCTCCCAAGGGTAGGAAATCCAGTGACCTAATCACCTAGCACTAAGCTCCACCTATTAAAGTTTCCACCATCTTCCCAAATCACCAAATTGGGGACCAACTGTCCAATACATAAACTCTTGGGGTAAAGGATCAAATCATATTCAAACCACAGCAGTATACAATGAGTAATTAAAGCCAAAACAATGATCTTTTTTTCTTTAAGCATATTTAAATACTTCTAATGTTTTCAAAATTATTGTGACATCCAGAACACATCATATCTTTTTCATTGTAATTAAATAATAGCATAGACATTGGGAGGAAAACAGGATTTAGTTAATAACTAGATTTTCAACACAATATGTCAGAGTGCCTCAGATCCATTAAGTACACAATATCAGTTGGAAAATAGGGTTAATTTTGCTGCAGCTTTAAAGAAAGTGGAAATAATTTCTAAATGGTAGTGTGTCTATACCTTAATGGTAGGAGATTCTTAGTTCATACTTAATTAAAAAGGCAAGTCACTGTTGAATTTTGAAAATCCTGTAAGAGTTTTTAAAGTAATTTAATGTAGCATTTTATGGTTGCTTTTGTAGTTTCAAATTCGCGATGGATATCTGGGGATGTATGTGCCTTCAGATCCCTTAGATTTAATCAGACTTCTCACTTGCTTGCTTGCATAATGGTTTATGGTACCTTTGATGATTTGCAGCCAACCTAGCACTTTTAATAATTTACTGTAAAAGCATTTAATTTTTAATGGACAAGAATGGGTTAGAGGTAACTTCTGCATTATAAGTGCTCTCCTGAAGAGTGGGAAAAAGAAACAGTATATTTAAATTCCAAACATTATTGAAAAGCCTGCGCCTTTTATTACCCAAATCAAATGCATAATTGAAAAACATACCTAACCCAAAATTATTGTTCATGCTTTATTTAATCATAAGATAGCATCGTGAATGCCAAGCTATCATGAGAACATTTTTTTTTCAAATTCTCATTTTTTCCTTATCTTTCATACTGTTTTCAATCTTCTGTCTGACTAGAAAAAGAACATACCTTTTCTTCTTTCTTTTTTTTTTAACTAAGAAAAGCCCAATGAAAGAATAGTTTGTAATGTCTGGTCCATAAAAGAATTATTTTATATTCATTTTCCTTCAAAGGTTTTCTAAGATCTCCATATAATGTGCATACCTAGGAATGATTTCACAAGCAGTCTTAAAAATATCAGTTTCCATGTGGAAAGAAAAATGGGAAGATGCCAGGATAAATATTTTTTTTAAGACTTGATGGAGGACAAAACATATCTTGCCTTCAGAGGCACATAAAACAAAAAATGTTGCAATCACTAAATAATCTCTTTCTCAGATATACCATGTGTAAAAATAAGAATGGCTTCACAGATGATTCCCCAGAAAGTAGTTCTAACAATCTTCGGCTCTGGAAACTCTTCTACTTGTCTAACATTCCACAGCTGACTGTCCCCAAGCTTACCCTGAAATGGGCTACAGGGAAAACTCCGATGGTCAAGACTTCAAGTCTGTGAGCTCTGTTTCTGGAACACCTTTGGAATTCAGACGTCAGAGCAGTTGTTTGAGAATGTGAAACTCATTCTCTTTGTTTTGGCTTTCGAATAGTGTTAAGTCTAAACCCTGTTCCAGAGGATTGGCTCCCAGGAACTCTTAGGCACTTAGCCAAGGAGTTTGTGCCCTGTCAAAATTACCCCATCTAAAGATGAAAGTTTGAGGCTCCAAGTGCACTTCCAGGCTTGGTTTCCTGGAATGAACCTGCAGGTGCAAGATTCAGCTGGTTAACAAGGACTCTATCGACTGTCATGGTCTTCTGGCTTTCTGGTAGGAGTTATCTGTAACAATTCTTTTCTCTGTTAACCAGATTTTCATCTCTACCCCAGCTAATGAACAGAAACTTCCAAGTCTAGTCAGTTTTCCCTCAGATTTGAGGAAGCAGGAATTGTTCAAGAGCACCTGAGTTGGGTGACCTACCTTTATCAATCGCAGTCACATATATTTTTCTTTCCTGCAGGTCTCTTCTTTATCTCATAATACCAGTACAAACTTTGGGAAGCAGACATCCCACGAATATTTGCATGAAGAAATTATAAGCTAGATAAGTTGCCCAAGGTTATACAGAGGATGGAAACTAGAAATGTAAACTCCCTGATTTTTTTAAATCAAGGGCTTTTCCCATTATATCATCTGGTCTCACTCTCTTTCT